GGTTGGGGAAACACACGTGGGGGTAGAAAGAAAGAAAAAAAAACTGCACACTTTATGGTTGGCGGAAAATCATCTATTTCTTGAAATTAGTACGCTGCTTCGGGCGCTTTCACGTGGTGGTCGATGGTGTACCACGTAGGCTGTGTGTGCTGTTCAATTTGTCTCCATAAAGCCCTGCGCCAAAGCGTGAAGCCAAGCACGACTAAAGTAATACACCAAGTGCACATGTGCAAACTAACTGTAAGTTGAATACTTGCAAGTAAAGTATTGTGCTCCGTACTTGTGCAGCTTGCAGGAAATCAACTCGGTAGAGGTTAACTTAGTTCATTAGTTCGGACGTGGACGCTTACTGTGTGGGCAGTGTTGAACGAGACGTGAGTTGCACAATTAAACAGTTAAACAATTGCAAGTATTTAACTTGAAGTTACAAACTTACAAGTGTTAAGCAGTTACACACTTTGTTAATCAGTGTAAGCAACACACAAAAACGTAAGATTTTTCTAATCAAAACAATTTTTAAAAATACACACTTTTACCATCTCCTTTTAATGATTTTTAGTCTTGACCAAAAATAAGAACCCCAAAACGTTTTAACCTGCTCTTACTTGTTTGATGAGGATGGCGTGAAACAGCCCCCTCTCTATTCGCGCACGGCCCCCCTCGACGCCGCGCTTCTCCGCGACGCAATAGTGCAACAAGCGGCGCAGTGCCGCCGCGGCGCCTCCAAGGACTGCAGCATGGCGCTAGGTAATTGCAAAGTGCCTTCTTATTCATTAACGGAGAGATGGCGCGGCAGGTGCCCCCCCCCCCTTTCCCCTCATTCGAAGTCGCTCCCCGCGCCGCCCCTCTGAGCGTGTGTGTCAGGCACGCCTCGCGTAACCCCTTTTGAATGCCCCCCCCCCCCCCTCGTCGCGTATCTGTCCATAATGCAAAGGCAAAACGCCGCCTTAAAAATACCAAACGGCGACTGCCGTGGCGGTCAATACCAGGAAGGAAAGGGACCATTAGGAATACAAACGGAGGATCATTATCAAGACGTTCCGACTGCTTATTCAATATGACAAACAGCGCCGTTCTGTTTGTGTGGTATTGACCTGCGTGGAACCCCCTCCCCCCTTTCCTCTCCCTTCCTGAGGGGCCTGTACGCACTACGGCCATATCGCTCCACCGGCATTAAACATGA